CAGCTGAAATCTATTAGTAATTAGAAAGCTGTCCTGCCCTTGACTAATGTCAGCTGGTTCAGTCTCAACTGATGACCTATAAAAAGGTGTCTCATTACCAAGGTGTCCCAGAATAAAAATCTCATGGTGAGTAAACGCGAAGAGCTCTCTCAAGACTTTTGCAACCTTATTGTTGCAAAACATACTGATGGCATTGATAACAGAAGGATTTCTAAACTTCTGAATGTTCCAGTGAACACTGTTGGGACCATAATCCGAAAGTGGAAACAACATCGTTTCAACATAAACCGGCCACGACCAGGTGCTTCTCGCAAAATTTCTGACAGAGGAGTGAAAATAATTATCAGAAGAGTTGTCCAAGACCCAAGGACCACTAGTGAAGAGCTTCAGAAAGACCTGGAAAAAGCATGTTGAAACGCATTTAAAATTTTGCTACACAACATTTAGTCAAGCCTGTGAAATACTAGAAGAATCTAGTCTGGTCAGATGAGACCAATATTGAACTCTTTGGATGCCATAATACACACCATGTCTGGAGGTCAAATAGCACTGCACATCACCCCAAAAACACTATACCAACAATGAAGTTTGGAGGTGGGAACATCATGGTGTGAGGGTGTTTTTCATCATACTGTACCAGCAAACTTCATATCATTGAAGGAAGGATAAAATGGAAAAATGTACCAAGACATTCTTGATAAAAATCTGCTGCTATCTACCAGGATGCTGAAGGTGAAACGAAGATGGACATTTCAGAAAGACAATGGTCAATGATGGAGAGTGTGATGAGGCTGAAGTATTATGGGTGGAACTGCACAGGGGGGGTGCAGTTCCATAGGTAATCATTGGAGTTTGTTATAAGCCTCCCAATGTTAATGAGGAGGTGAAAACTCAGCTCCTTGCACAGATCCAAAGGGCTGCAAGGGCTGGGACAGTGATAATAATGGGGGATTTTAACTACCCAGAAATTGACTGGAGTAATGGTACTGCAGGAACAGTTAAATGGCAAACATTTTTAAACCTACTACAGGACAATTTTATGGTACAGTTCATAGAGGACCCTACTAGGAATGATGCTGTGCTGGACCTGGTATTCTCAAACCATGCAGAGCTTATTACGAATGTCCACATAAAAGAACATCTGGGTAGCAGTGACCATAACATGATTTAATTTATTGTTAGCTGTAAACAGCAAGTACATATGGGAAAAATAAAACTGATCAATTTCAAGAGAGCTAATTTTCCAAGGCTGAGAGCTGCTCTCCAAGACTTGGACTGGGAGGGAATATTGGCATTGGCATAGATTAAGGGGGGATATGATCACTATATGAGCCACTGATGTATTTATACATGTTGACAAGGGGGCACTCTTGTTGACACAGGACAAGGGGGCACTCTTTACGTCTGGAGGAAAAGAAATGTAATCTCCAAAACACGGAAAGGTTTCTTCACAGTGAGAGCTGTGAAAATGTGGAATAGACTCCCTCAAGAGCTGGTTCTGGCCAGCTCAGTGGATTGCTTCAAAAAAGGCCTGGATTGTTTCTTAGAAACACATAATATAACTGGATACTAACATTTATAGGTAAAGTTGATCCAGGGAATATCCGATTGCCTCTAGGGGGATCAGGAAGGATTTTTTTTTCCCAGCAGGAGCAAATTGGATCATGCTTTGCTTGGGGTTTTTTTTTGCTGCCTTCCTCTGGATCAACTGTGGGTATAGGATTATAACTTTTTTTTCTATGGTTAAACTGGATGGACTTTTGTCTTTTTTCAGCCAGACTAACTATGTAACTATGCAACAATGATCCCAAACACAAAACCAAGGAAACGCTCAATTGGTTTCAAGGAAAGAAGAAAAAAAAGCTGCTAGAATGGCCCATCCAATCACCTGACTTGAATCCAATAGAAAATCTGTTGAAGGAACTAAAAAGTCAGAGTTCATAGAGGAGGCCCACGGAACCTTCAAGATTTGAAAACTGTTTGTGTGGAAGAATGGGCCAAAACCACACCTGAGCAATGCATGCAACTAGTTTCTCCGTACAGGAGGCATCTTGAAGCTGTCATTACCAAGAAAGGATTTTGTACAAAGTTTTAAATAAATTTCAGTTAACATATTCAATACTTTTTCCCTGTATCATTTCATTGTATTATACATACCTTTAACTTAATTTCTGAACTTATATGTTTTGCTTTCTTTGTATGTATGGATTGCATGGGTTGTTACCGACATGTGGTGAAAATTTCATGTTAATAGCACCTTTAGAAATATATTTACTGAGAAAAATGGTGACATGTTCAATACTTATTTTACCTGCTGTAAGTTCTCATTAGCATTGTTTCTGCCTTTGGCTTTGCATCACATCCTCTAGATCAGGGGTCTACAAAACTTTCTAAACAAGGGGCCAGTTTTCTGTCCTGTGTACTATAGGGGGACGCACTGTGGCCAGAGGGAGTAGAAAATGTCCTAGTGTGGGCGCAAACTACATATATCTCATCATTGGAGTCAGTGGGAGCAATAGTGCCCCCGTTGTTGATGTCAGTGGCCGTAATTATGCCCCATTGTTGGTGTCATTGGGAGGAATAGTGCCCCCCATTGTTGATGTCAGTGACAGAGCTTATGCCACATTGTTGGTTTAATTGGGAGGAATAGTACCCCATCATTGGATGGAATGGTGTGAATGGAATAATGTCCCATTGTTGGTGTCAGTGGCAGGAATTATTCTCTATTGTTACTGTCAGTGGCGGGAATTACGCCCTATTGTTGGTGTCAATGGGAGGAATATTACCCAATCATTGGAGGGCATGGTGAATGAAAAAAAAAGTCCCATTGTTGGTGTCAGTGGCAGTAATTATGCCCTTTTGTTGGTGTCAGTGGGAGGAATAGTTCCTTTATATCATTGACGCAAGTGGCTGTAATTATGGCCAATTGTTGGTGTCAGTGGGAGGTATAAGTGGGAGAGATAGTGCCCATGGGCTGGATAAAGGCAAGCAAAGGGCCACACCCAACCCCCAATCCCCAGTTTGGAGACCACTGCTCTAGATAATACTTTAACATTAAGTGATTTACGCAGTTGTATATTGAATAATCCTTTTTTTCCCATAATGCTATGTTATAACAATTGGCTAACATTTAAGAACAGCTATAGAGAATACCTGCTTTGTTGTTTAATGGAAAAGGTTTTTATCCATGTATATTCATAGATTACTGTGAAGACATGAGTGCATGTAGAAAAGTTCTCACACCAGAAACATCAATGAGTCTTTGTATGTGTGTGTTTTATTGACAGGTGAAGCTCTTGGGATTAAATACCCAGTACAAGTACCCTATAAGCGCATTAAGAGCAATCCTGGCTCTGTCATAATAGAAGGCCTGCCTCCAGGAATCCCATTCCGTAAACCCTGTACTTTTGGATCACAGAATCTAGAGCGGAATTTTAGCTGTAGCAGACAAAATCAAATTTACAGTGGCAAGGTACATGCATTAATCTACAATTACCAGTAGTAGCTGTATGTTTGCTTATAAAAAAAGTATATGGACTAATCGGCTACAAAAAAAAAATCTTGATGAACTCTATAATAAATCAATAATAATCATTGTAACATTTTTGTTTTGCTTACATTTCAGGCCATTTCAGGGACTAATCCCCAGACCTGGTAATATATTTGCTTCTGGTTTATTTTACATTTGGTAATAAATATACTGTCTAAAGACTTTATTTGGATTAGTGACATCTTACGTTTCTTCTCTATTTGTAATGTATGAGAATGTGTGTGCACATATAAAATCTCATCTTACTAAATGTGTGCATTAGGCTCAATTTACAAAGCTTTACACAGATAAGGACTGGTATTTTTAGAAATGTGTCTGAAATTATAAAATTTCACTGGGCTCTGAAAATATCAGTTACTTTTTTTGGAAACAAAGATCTTTGTCTAGGTGTTAGCTGTGTGCTTTGTGCCTATTGTCCTACTAGAATTTGCATCTTCTATACAGTAAAATAACATTAATTTGTCATTGGGTGTTTCTGCTCTTCCTTGAAATTCAATAAACATTTCAATGGAAATGGAAAAATAGATATATAATATATATGGTAGCAACTGCATTTCTAGTCAAATATTAATGTATTTTGTTTTAACAGATGATGAAGATGCAAACAGATTAGGAGAAAAAAGTTATCCTTCGTGAGCAAGTTAAGGAACTCTTCAATGAAAAATATGGTTAGTGTGAACCATGTAATGTAGTGTACAAATCAACCACCCTGTACTGGTATTTTGGAGAATATTTACCTTTATGGTACCAGGTATTTCTAATTATTGTTACTATTTGTATGAACACAATAAAACAGATTTCCTCTTAAAAAAAATCTTTATATATTTTATGTTTTTATTTTGTCATAATATTAATGAACCAAGTTTATCCTTATAAACACAGTACTTCTCAAAATAACATTGCATTGCCTGTCACTTAACAATGATCTGCTGTGATGGTACCGTGAAAGTTCCTATTCTTCAACATAAAGTATCATAGTTACGTAAAACGAATGTGGATACATTAAATCCCAAACCAAAAATATAATATATTGCAACTTACCCATCTTTAGATGTGGTGGCTGAATTAGTTTATTTTAGCCTTTTTCCATCTGTTTTTACTTGGTGATCTGCCCCAGTTACACACCGGCTGTATTAGAGTGTCCCACTCTGGATGAAGGAGCAAAGGAGCATTTTTGGACAGCAGCCTTGTGAGTCCAGGGGGAGGGGAGTGTTACAGTAGCTGGACTAGCAGATTTAGATACACTTACAAATTGAAGCCAAGCTCCAGCTCACACCACAGTTACAGAAACAGTTTTTAGGGGATTTACATGAATAAATAAAAGTTGATTATTTTAAAAACCCCTGTCAGTGGTAAATGATTTGTTGTTTAACCGCCTCCCGCCCGTCATATAGTACAATGACGGGCGCAAGGCGGTTCTCTCATTCTGGGAGGACGTCATATGACGTCCTCCCATTCTAACTGCGCATGCGCGAGTCCGGGAGCGCACAGCGCGGCGATTAGCGGTGCGCTGTGTGCCTCGGACAGAGCGGATCACCGATCAACAGAAAGAGCTGAAGATGTTGGCTCAGTCATATGATCAGCTGTGTCCAATCACAGCTGATCGCGTGTAGATAGGGAAATGCCGGTAATCGGCATCTCTCAGAGGGGACATGTACACTAATCATCAGGGCACTGATGATCAGTGTGCCCTGATGATCTGTGTAGCCCCAGCAGTGCCACCTGTCAGTGCTCATCCATGCCACCTGCCAGTGCCCATCAATGCCACATTTCAGTGCCTACCAGTGCACATCAATACCACATATAAGTGCCCATCTGAGCTGCCTTTCAGTGTCACCTATCAATGCCAGTTAGTGCCACCTAGCAGTGCCGCCTTTCAGTGCCAGTCAGTGCCGCCTATCAGTGTGCATCAGTGCCGCCTATCAGTGCCCGTCAGTGCTGGCTATCAGTGCCACCTAACAGTGCCAGTCAGTGCTGCCTATCAGTGCCGCCTGTCAGTGCCATATATGAGTGTTGCCTTTCAGTGCCCATCAGTGATGCATGTCAATGCCCATCAGTGCCACCTACCAGTGCCTCCTCATCAGTGCCATCTATCAGTGTCCATCAGTGCAGCCTATCAGTGCCCATCACTGCAGCCTCATTACCGCACATCAGTGAAGGAGAAAAATCACTTATTTACAAAATTTTATAACAAAAACTAAGAAAAAAATTTTATTTTTCTAAATTTTCAGCGGTTTTTGGTTTAAGGAAAAATAAAAAACCCATAGATGATTAAATACCACCAAAATAAAGCTCTATCTAGCAAAAAAAATGATAAAAATTTTATATGGGTACAGTGTTGCATAACCGCGCAATTGTCATTCAAAGTGCAACATCGCTGAATGCTGGAAATTGGCCTGGGCAGGAAGAGGGTATAAGTGCCCTTCAGACTAGTGGTTAAAGACAACAGATGTAGTAGCTGGATGACAGGATAAAAATAAAGGAAAAAGTCTAAGTAACTAATGCAGCCACCATATCTAAGAAATGTAAGCTGCATTATCATAAAATGTTTGCTTTTGGGCTTAATATCATATTAGGGGTGCATTCACTCTTGTGAATGCACCCGCACAGCTATTAAATGTGAGAACCCCAGCAGGGGTTCCCATAATTAGCTGTGGGAGGCAGCTCTCTTGAAAGCAATAGAAGGCTGCCGGCTCCTGCAACTAATGGTGCTCACTCACATTTAATCACTCATGCAACGATCACATGCAAGTGATCAGCCGTGGACGCAGGCTACCTGAGTCCAGAGCCGATCATTTGCATGTGATTGCTGCATGCGCTATTACATGCAAGTGGGTGAGATTAGCTCCAGGGGCCAGCAGCCTCCAATTGCTTTAAATGAGGCTGCCATTCACAGCTAATAATGGGAACCCCCGTTGGGGTTCTCACATCTAATCACCATGCTGTTGCGTTTGCAAATGTGAGTGCACCCTTTCAGGTGCATAGGATAACCAAATTTTATAAAACCTTACAACTATTACCTAATGGCAACCAATAATGAAAGAAACAGGAACGCTACCAATACCAGTCGGTTTCATTGATCTGGACAAATATGCACAAGTTTGGACTTCAATGAAACTTTACTTGTTTCTTGTTCCAGGGCAGAAAACAGAGTTCTGAGACAATCAGGCAAAGTGCATTTTTAGATAAGTGGTCACTGATGCATGGCAGATTTTTATGGATTCCCAGAGTAGTATTTCATCGCTGAGTTGTGATACTGTACAATTTTTTTTTCTCTTTGCAGTAAAGATTGTCATGGTTTTAAAAATATTGTTTAAACATTTTAAAGGTGTAGTCTTGTGCATTAGTAATCCTGACAACATATTATGTGCTTTTGGTGCAGGAGAGGCTCTGGGATTGGGTCGCCCAGTGCTTGTACCCTACAAATTAATCAGGGATAACCCCGATTCTATAGAAGTCACTGGACTGCCAAATGACATCCCATTCAGGAATCCAAATACATATGACATTCATCGGTTGGAAAAAATTCTAACAGCGCGAGAGAATATTCATATGGTGATTATAAACCAGTTACAGTAAGTATCCTGTACAGTGGGAAAAAAGCCTATGTGGTATTCAATAAGGAATCATTTATTGTTGTGTCTGAGCCAATATTTAGTCTTCTGTCTTTTGCAGGGTAGATTTTAGGGTCTGTGTTCCACAATCTGTTGATGTTTTAACACAAATAAAAAGGCACACATTTGGGGCAAACTGAGATCTTATCTAAAAGACATACAGTAAACTAATGACTGGTACACATTGGGAGTTTTTTCGTTCAACCCAGCAGGTAGAGTGAATAAAAACTGAGAGGTCATCGTACTAACTTAGCGATGTTAGTGCAGTGATCTCAGCCGCTGAGCTGTTTTGTTCTGACAGGTGGACCTTTTCCCCCCGCCAGAACACATTGATCAGCACTCACAGCCATTGGCTGCAAGCATTGATTGGATGCTGGTTTTCCAGCATGCCCATTTGATAAAAGACAGTTGTTAGACTGGCTTCTGTGGGACAGGCTGCTGTAAACACGGGTCAAATGTTGGCTGGTTTCTGTTGAACTGGTTGATATTCAGTCCGTGTGTACCAGCCTTGAGAAGCAGCTTGTGTTACTAAAAAAATCTTTCAGCCTTATAGGAGGCCTCACACTAAAGGGGCCTGTTGTGAGCCCCCTTATCCTATCCCTTGGAGTCCATATCTGATCTTCCTCTGGCTAAAGCTTCATCTGCACCTCCTGTTAAAAGAGGATGAGGATGATGCCTTGCCCAGTTCCAAGGACCCAGTGCATGAGTAAACTCAGTCAACTTGAAATCTCTGAAACTCGCATTTACAACCTTGTGACTGGACTAACCCTGAAAAGATCATTGCCCCTCAAAAGCATTTTGCCCATCAATATCTTTTTCAAGAGGGGTTCCTAAAAAAATGGGTTGTCCTGGTTGCAGGCCCAGCCATTTCCTTTCTAAACAAGACCTTTTTGGTCCCTGTAGAGGACATTCCAGTGTTCAAGGACCCTGTGGATAAGAAGCTAGAAGCCCTATCTAAGGCCTTGTACCTCCCTTGCAGGACCTGCTATGCAACTAGCCATTGTGACCTTGTTTGTCTGCCAGACTATAGCTGTTTGAAACCCTGGGCTCCAGATCCTGGTTCTATGCAAACACATTCTTCTATACTTCAACAATTTGAGGGTCTGTGGCCCTGCACTAATGTGTTGATAGGTGAACCGATACCATTCACCAAGTATCATAAATGGATATTCTATCTGTGCATATACAGAAGATCCTTTGGCTCAAATGCTGGTATGCAGAGATTCCGTGCAAGAAATGTCTTGTGTGGATGCCCTCTGCTACAGCTTCTTTGGACAGCTTTCTCAAGGAAATCACAGGGGTATAAGAGTACCCTTTTACTCCAGAAATAGAAAGCAGAAAACTCCAGTTGGTAAAACAGTTACTCCCAGGAGAAAAAAAGATCTTTTATTTTTTTTGGACCTCTGTGTCCAGTCCAAGCCTAGAACCTGCCAGGTCCAGAAGCAAGTCCTCCCCTCAATAAGAAGGGGCTCTCAGAGTTGAGGGGTATTTGGTAGCCTTTGCAGCCATCCGGTTCCTAGACATTTCAGACACTTGGGGGCAAAACTTTGTATCCAGGAGATACAAACTGAAATTTTGGCCTCAGTCTTCACCCTGCTTTATGTTGTCAAACCTGCAAACATCCCTGCAAAGGTTAACAGATCTTCACGCTTCTTTAGAGCAGCTCCCATCCCAGGGGACCATAGCCATTGTCCATGAGGAGGAGAGGATCCAGAGTTTCTATCCAAACCTATTCACCGTCCTCAAAGTGAAAGGAGGCATCCACCCCATTCTGGATCTAAGAATTTACAACAGATTGGGTGGGTTCCATTTTTGAACTCCTACAAGTCAGTCAATGCTTTCCTGCATCTGGGCAATCATCTTGCCTCTGTGGACATCAAAGATGCTTTCTTGCATATTCCTGTCTTCCCAGAGTATCATTGGTGCCTACTCTTTGCTGTGGGCATGCAACATTACTACACTGCTCAAAAAAATTAAAGGAACACTTTTTAATCAAAGTATAGCATCAAGTCAGTTAAACTCCTTGGATATTGATCTGGTCAGTTAAGTAGCAGAGGGGGCTGTTAATCAGTTTCAGCTGGTTTGGTGTTAATTAAATTAACAACAGGTGCACTAGATGGGCAACAATGAAGCGGCCCCCAAAACAGGAATGGTTTTACAGGTGGAGGCCACTGACATTTTTTTCCCTACTCATCTTTTCTGACTGTTTTTGACTAGTTTTGCATTTCACTAGAGTCAGTGTCACTACTGGTAGCAACAAGCGATACCTGGACCCTACAGAGGTTGCACAGGCAGTCCAACTCCTCCAGGATGGCATATCAATACGTGCCATTGCCAGAAGGTTTGCTGTGTCTCCCAGCCCTGTCTCAAGAGCATGGAGGAGATTTCACGAGACAGGCAGTTACTCTAGGAGAGCTAGACAGGACAGTAGAAGGTCCTTAACCCATCAGGATCAGTATCTGCTCCTTTGTGCAAGGAGGAACAGGATGAGCACTGCCAGAGCCCTACAAAATGACCTCCAGCAGGCCACTGGTGTGAATGTCTCTGACCAAACAATCAGAAACAGACTTGATGAGGGTGGTCTGAGGACCCGACATCCTCTAGTGGGCCCTGTGCTCTCTGCCCGGCCCCATAGAGCTCTATTGGCATTTGCCATTGAATACCAGAATTGGCAGGTCCACCACTGGCTCCCTGTGCTTTTCACAGATGAGAGCAGGTTCACCCTGAGCACATGTGACAGACGTGAAAGGGTCTGGAGAAGCTGTGGAGAACATTATGCTGCCTGTAACATTGTTCAGCATGACCGTTTTGGTGGTAGGTCAGAGATGGTCTGGGGAGGCATATCCATGGAGGGACGCATAGACCCCTACAGGCTAGACAATGGCACCCTGACTGCCATTAGGTAGCAGGATGAAATCCTTGGACCCACTGTCAGAACCTACGCTGGTGCAGTGGGTCCTGGGTTTCTCCTGGTGCACGACAATGCCTGGCCTCATGTGGCGAAAGTATACAGGCAGTTCCTGGAAGGAATTGATACCATTGAATTGCCCCCCACGCTCGCCTGACCTACTGTAAATACAATAGAACACCTCTGTGATATATCATGTTTCGGTCCATCCGACGCCACCAGGTTGCACCTCAGACTGTCCGGGAGCTCAGTGATGCCCTGGTCCAGATCTGGGAGGAAATACCCCAGGGCACCATCCATCATCTCATTAGAAGCATGCCCCGATGTTGTCAGGCATGCATACAAGCACATGGGTGCCAAAAGACTGAGTACCATTTTGAGTTGCTGCAATGAAATTTCAGCAAAATGGACTAGCCTGCTGCATAATTTTTTCACTTTGATTTTCGTGGAATCTTTGAATTCAGTCCTCTGTAGGTTGATAATTTTCATATCCATCAAACGATAGGGCATCTTTATGTTCTTA